AGGAATAAGAATATCCAACTGTAAAAGAAGCTGCAAAAGCTCACATAAGGACCTGATCGTAATGACAAAGAGAACAAACTGTCAAATAGGTGGTGATGGAGAAGTGCACAGTGTTCACTTATTAGTTCCATCCAATCGTTCCAAGAATGGCCAAATTTGATCGTATCAAATACGTAACGAACAGCTTATAAAATAGGAATATTCTTGAAGAACATTCAGTTACACGCAATTCGGTCGCGAACTCATGTCATGTTTGCAAGCGACAGACTCTTCGGCTAAAGTTTGGAAACATCTGATTATATCTTAATCGTCTTTATGCCGTAAAGTGCTTGTTGAATTAAAAAAAGTGAATATATATATATAATATATATATATATGTATATATATTATTTGTTTGCTTGCTTGTGTTTCCTATGAACGTTTGTAACGCCTTGATATATTATTTTCCGAGATGCTAACAAAGCGCAATAAAAATACAAAAAAAAGAAAAAAAAACAAACTGAAAAAGAAACGTCAAACAATTACAAACCGTAACAACAAATAACTGGTCATCCCTTTAAATAGTTGCATTTAGTGCTTCCACACACAACTTGGTGCGGTCGTTAACTATCGCTTGTCCCATTTCCATCTTTCTATGTTAATCTGGACAATAGTAACCGTAATTGCAAATGATTTAATCAATTGAATTTTTTTTTTTTTTTTTTTTTGTTATCCTCTCTCACATCTATTTTTTTACTTTTGAATTTATACGAACATATGCATATTGCTCAAACTCTACGTCTATGCCCGTTATATAACGTTTTTCCATGTGTGTGCTAAATATAATTTTCCCAGCGACGTTTACAATTTAAATACAAGGACAGGCTTTTCTTCTTGATCTTCAGTATTATTACATAACCCGTATATTATGAGACTTTTTATATGCTTAATAGGCTACAAAGTATATTCCGAAAACATAAAACATTTTGAAAATATTTAGCAAAACTTTGTTTCTCCTCTCCTGGTCGTGGCTGTACAGCTTTGGAATTTTTAATACATATTTCAGGTTTGTTTTTTCGATGAAACATAAGAATTACACGTAAATTAAATCTGTGCAGGAAATCGTTGCAATTCTGTGGACTTTTGCAGCGCTGCCGTATACGTAATTAGTTATGTCGTCTTGAAAGTTTTCAAATAAAACATTTCTTACTATTAACGAAAGTGCATGAAAGTTCATGAATCCTTTAGAAATTCATTTAAATTGCGGTTCTGTACTTAGCCAGAGTACATTTTAGAAGATTTTTAGAAGGTGCTTCACAAACATATATGGTACACGCCACTATTTGCTCTTCCATTTCCTAACGCTTAGAAGAAAAAATCTTGATTTAAATTTTTCATTTTCTTTAAATTAGATACGAAAAGCATCGATATCCTATTAATTAAGAGTGAGGTGCAGCTAAATTTTACATAAATACGATCTTAGAAACATACGATATGCGATGTAGATCGAAAAAATGGATACTAGGTCCATCTGACAATAAATGACCGCGCACTGTTGATTGTCTTGAAAAATGCTGTCCCCAAAGCGAAAAGAATTTTTTCATGATATACGCATCACTGAAGCATTAAGATGATCTGGTATTTTCCTTTGAATTGTGTAAATCTCACATATGTCCATCACATAATTTTAAATGCGTTGATATCTGTTAATTCCTAGATTCCAGAAAGATATTTAATTCATTTCATGAAAATTGTGCCTAAATTTCAAGTGACCCATCTCTCCAGTTCGCTGTATGCATATGCTATACGCATTAAGTGGCTACGATATAAATCGTAATAGTGTACACCTGCGTTACGTTTCCTCTTTTTTTCTGTCCCTATAAAGTAAGTTCTAGAAGTAAAGTTAAATGTTCTCCTAAGTCCTCGGCGATTAAGGAAAATCTTTCAGTTATTTACGCTTGCCTCACACTAGCCTTTCGATACATAGTTACCAAGCATACTTACCTGATAGCATGTATTTACGGGATTTGGATAGCTTGCTGATGACAAATTTTCAAAATCTGATAATAATTAGTTAGCCTTGTACTCATTTTAATCGTTTTTGCTTAATTATTAGTGTCGATGATCTCCTAAAATAATTTAACAGATCTTGTGACCAATCTCCTCCCACTTCTAAAGCTCGCAGTTTTGAGTCTAAATACTGGCTTTCGCATTCAATTTTGCCACCTTCAAGAGCAAATGCACAGTTTTCATTATTGGAGAAAATTTAATCCTAGCAGATAATTCGAAACTCCATCATCACATTATATTATCTGCATCCATCCATCAGAAGGCAGTGGACTCACTCAGCCACAAAGTTTAAGCAGAAAGTCAAGAAATTTTATTACATAAAGTCCTACCCTTGGGTCAGAGATGCATCTTAATACTTACTTACTAGATATGTTCATGAAATATTTAATAAAAATACTTGAAACGGTCATCTGAATATATAGGATCCAAGATTTTGCATAAAGCGAAAATAGCGCGCTTATCAATAGCCCGATTTGCATCGTTTTCATATTAAATCTCTAGAAAGTTAAAATGATTCTTGGTATAAATCATAAATTATTCACAATGCTGCTAAGCAAGTCTTTTCTTATTGCCAACCTCGCAGTTGGCCAAATAATTTTTGTAATGGAGGTGTCGCCTAGTGTCGTCCGAGGAATGTTCACAGTTTTAGTTTTACCCATAAAAGTATTATATTGCAGGAGTTTTATGTACTACGAACAAGATTTTGGCTGGACCGCACTCAGTTTTAATTTTGGCTTAGGGCCATCAGTTAAGATTAGTAATGTTAAATTCGAATTATTCGCATAAGTCTTTGCGATTGGTTGACAAACGCCCATTACCAGTAAATCCACCCGAAATTATGTTTTAATGAAATTTTTAGAACATATTTACTGAAAGAGATTCTCTTCTCTACGCAATCCTGGTAGGGTGGAAAACTACGAACTAGAGAGATACATGGACTGGAGAGATCAGTTGTGTCGATGTTTGCTCCTCATCATCGGTCATCATAAATCTATTGCCGGGTAGACCGTACTAGACAGATACATATGCCAAACGCATTCTTCGCTGCCCTGGCATTGAGGACATGTAACAAAATTCAGAAACTAAACGCATTCTGTGGGATTGCAGCGCAACTGGATGCTTAAAGAACTTAAAGAAAAGGTAAGATGTTAAGTAGACCTCTTCCAGAAGCAATGACATATACACAATACGATACCTATGGGAACATCAATGATTAACATACTACTGGCCAAGGAGAATAATGAAGTCTTTGGGGACGACAAATGCCATAATATGCATTTCCGGCGCCATTGAGCGCTGTGGATTTAAATCTTACATAGAGCAAGACCCTTGAAACTTGAAATCTTCATTTTACAGCGTTCACTGCAATATATATATATATTATAATATCGAAATGTAGATAGCATATGTATAGATTATCCATATCGTCAATCTTTGTGTAGCTTCACTGTCAGTTATTCTTTACATATATTTCCAATTTTTCAAACGTAAACCGCAATTCCACCTATGACGCGAGATCAAAAACCGACAGTAACAATGCAGAAAAACAAATATGAAAAGTTGATTTTCATTTAAAATGTTTATTATTTTTTATCTTTTGTGAGAAGTATTCCTTACTAATTATTATTATTATATATTATTATTATTGTTATTATTTTACATACACTTTCAAGTCATTCAATTATCATTCACTTTGATAATTCAGTTCGTCGTTTGCTTTGACTATACATACATACGTAAATAAATATATACATGCATAGTATTTACTACAAATATATAAATAAGCCTTGGGTTTTTTTTTTTTTTGCAGTTTTCATTTGCTAAACGAAAAAAAATTACGATAATTTTTTTTTATTTTACTTATTTTTTTTTAAAATTTTTTTTTTCTTTCTTTTTTTTTTTTTTTTTTCTTTTTTTTCGTTTTTTCTGTTTTGTTTGTTTGTTTTTTTGTTTTTTTTTTTTTTGTTTTTGTCTTTTTTACACACGCAGTGACTGACTGTTGATCTAATTATTCGTTTTTATTTATTATTGTATAATTCCGTTCTTTCTTTTTAATTTTTATTTGCAGTTAGAAGGGAGTATTTATATAAAGTAGAAAAGTATATCTATGTGTATGTGTAATCTGTCTTGAGTTATAATAACAAAGTAAAAATCGGTGAAGAAGATGCTCTTGCTTGAATGTGTGCAAAAACGAAGGGAACAATGGCTAAGAATTGTTGTTTCCGTTACGTTAGAATAATGATACGATTTTACATTACATAAATTCAATGTTAGCGTCTGCCCATTTCGTAAATCCAAGCAATAATCTCAGTCTGCAAGAGATCGGGTCTTTTGCGCGTTTTCCATTTAAAAATCGAATACATTTGATTTCTACGCATCGGCGTATGTGGCAAGTAATCTAAATTAATAATCATGAGCAGTACATATGTATATATATATATATAGAATATATAAGCAGTCATCTAATATACACACAATAACACAAATAAAAACCTTAGCTTAATTATACAGAGCTGGGAAACACATCGTAACTCATACGTTACAGGTGTGATGCCTTTGATAAGAATATTGAAATGAAATAACAAAAAGCAAAAGCAAAACAAAATGCACAAACAAAGAATGAAGAGGAAAGAAGCGAGGAAAATGAAGACGAAAAGGAAATAATTCTTAAAAATTTATTAGCTTTCCATTAAATAATAGTTTACGCTAAATTTTCTAATCGTAAATATGTTCGTGTAAAAATAGTATGAAGTAGTTTATCTATATAGTACTCTGTTAAAGACGAGATCTTACTTAAAAGGAATATAAATAGCAAAGTGAATTGTTTTCATCCTTATCTTACGTAATATATGATATCTTGCGAAGTTTTCTTCTTTTTTTTTTTTCTTTTTTTTTTCGTTTAAAAAACTAAGTCTTAAACCGTAATATATATAATATATATAATATATATATATATATTATTATATATACTTAGAGCTTAATTACGTGGGGACAAATAGCAGTCATTTAATATACTCATGCTGACCCACCACTACCACCAGCACCAGATACTAACGATTTTGCGAATCCTTTTGTGACTTCAACATATGTTTCACATCCACGAAGGTCATCCTCCATAATAAGGTTAGCCGCAGATATGGATTGAAGAGAGTAATAAGTTTGCAAAGGGATATGAAATTTATCTTGGAATTTCACTTGATTGATTCAGCGGTGGGTATTAAAATTCGTCCTAAGCCGAATAAACATTTTTGCCTTCTTTCTTAAATCAATTAATAAACGCGCACTTAGTCTTCTAGCAGTTCGTCAATTTCCGGTATAGTTAGCCTTCGTTTTGCATTTCAGTGATCTGCTGTTGTTCCAACTTGATTTGCATTAAATTACTATCTCTTTGAGAAGGGAAAGCGGTAGCTACACCCGTCTCATTATTAGGTAACAGCTCATTACCATCTTGACCAGAAAATAAATCTTCGAAGCGCGGACTTTTAACGGCAGACTTTTGAAATAAACCATTAGCTATCGCTTCAAAGTCGATGCCGGGTGGAAGGTTTTCTAAAAATTTTTTATTATACGCGTACTGTATGGCATGATCTTTATTTTTAAAATACGGATATGGCGACGACGGTCCCGTACTGAAGCAAGACTGAGGTGGCTGTTTTTGACCATCACTAGCACCAGTAGCAGAACCCCGAGAGCAATTTCCAAATTGTCTCGCTTGAATGGCTTCTTTCAATTTATGATCTCTTTCCTTTTCGCGGCTACATTCCATTTCACGCTCGATTGTATAGGTGTTCGCATTATGGTGTATGGATTGATTTGGGCATGGTCCGCTCGGAGGTAAAGCATTCAAACCAGATAAATTCATTAAGCCCAATTTGCTAAGGTCTGCTAAATTTTCTGCACTTCTACGTTCGCTCATTTGTTTTGAGAGCAAATCGGGCGATTGTTCTGTCATTTCTGATCGCTGTAAATAAGCCGGAGATTTGTACAAATTCATATTCTGCGAAACAGGAGAATGCTGCTGCTGTTGAGAAATAATATGACGACGGAAATTTTCTGTCATTGAATTCAAAGGACTCGATGATTCTTGGGATGCTAAAATCGTATTTTGCACAGCGAGCTTCGCGGCATTATGCATTCCATTAGTTATAATTGTATTTGGATTGCTGAAATGAGGAGGCTGTAAAAGAATACGAAAAGTAACAACAACAAACATTAACCTTCGATACTACTACTTACTATCTATGAAGGAAGAGTTTCTAAAGTTTCTAAATAGTGGGCACTTCTGATACATGCATAAAAGCTCGTATGTGTAAATCATAACGAAATGTCCCAAAGCAAAGCAAAAGATAAGTTAAGCAATTTTGATATATAATATGTTGACAATGTGAAGGGCTTTTTAGGCTTTTAGATCATCGCAATTCAACTTTCAGCAAAATAGATTCCTAATTATTCCTAATTATTCTTAATTATTCTTAGCATCCATGTACATAATAGAAATTAATTGATAAGTATAAGGAAAATGAATAATTAAGTAAATGTAATGAAATAATAGTTCGCATTGGAACGTACCCGATATATGAACGATTTCGCGTTAATGCATAAAAATCATCGACTAACAACAACGAGCAAAATCATTTTCCTGTAGAATTTTTCTATATTCCGTATTAATATTTTTTGCGGAGATTTTTATCGTCTACCGCAAGGAACTTATTGATAACGATATTTTAAAAAGCCATCGTACTGGCCATATATTCGGAATATTCGTTCGCAGAGGTTATCAATTTTCGATTTGGATAATTTTGAAGAGATGTGCCGAGTCGACAGAAATAGCCCAATTTCTGATTATACAACATTATACAAACGAAATACTAATATTAACATACTGCCGCCACTTGGTATCGTAGAAAATTAGATCAAAATAAACGGATAAAATTGGAACCCAAATCAGAAAAACAGTACGTGAGCGGCTACGGACAAAATTTTACGATTAATGAATAAATCGATAGTGGAAAGTGAAAAATGAATAGGGGAGAGTGGATAATATATATATATATATACGTCATAGATAAAGTTTAATATTGGACACGAAACGTGACGTCTTCATATGAATGTTAATACAGGAGAGATTATAAAAATAGTTTGTATTATCACACTCGGCAACGTTTAACAACACAGCAAGCGTTATACACTTAACTTATTTTTCCATAATATAAAGCGAGCATAAATGGTTGTTTTTAATTTGAATTATTTAAA